AATTCGGGCTGCTTCCTTGACCCAGCGTACAGCTTTAGCATGCAACTGTTCCCCTTCCTTCGAGACCACGTCAGGCTCGTTATCCGGAGGCACATGCAGTGAATCGCAAGGCAAACCCAAACTACCGGCTAATAAAGAGTCAGGCAGTGGACAAAAGTCATCAGAAAATCCAGCAACGGGAGTGAATGAAGCGAGTGCTGTACGCAAATTGATACCCTCAACCCAAGACTGTGCAGTGAGTGCTGAGGTACGGCGTGTTTCACACAAGTCCTGATCCATGCGAGCCCCTGTGTTGTCAACGGTTGACGGGACCGGTTGCCTAGAGAGCAGGTCAGCATTTTGGTACTTAAGACCCGGGCGATGCACAACCTCAAAGTCGTATTCCTGCATGATGAGTGCAAACCGTGCATACTGCCCCGTGAGCCCATCTGCGCTCATGAGGTACGTTAGGGGTTGATGGTCAGTGACAAGAGTGAACTTGGGCCCACCAAGGAGGTGGTGTCGGAACATTTTAACCGCCCAAACAGCAGCAAGCATCTCCCCTTTGTAGCTGCTATAATTCTTTTCATGCTTATTAAGGGAACAACTAATGCACGCGCAGATGTACTCGTTACCCTGATCGTCCAGCTGGCCTAAAACAGCACCAATCCCATGGTTAGAGAAATCGGTGTGCAGGATCAGCGGGCGGGTATAGTCTACACGGCGCAAAACAAGACCTTCCCTAGAAAAGACAGACTTGATGCTCGTGAAGGCCGCTTCCTGCTCAGGGCCCCAAACCCAGGGTTGATCTTTCTTCAACAAAAGGGTGAGGTTGGCAGTTAGCGAGCTCATGCTAGGTATGTAGCAACGATAGTAGTTTACAAAACCTAGGTAAGAGCGAAGTTCGGACACGTTGCGAGGGGGCTTTAGGGCCATGATCGCAGCTATCTTTGCATGGTGCGGACTGATGCCTTCGGCGCTTAAATTGTGGCCTAGATACTCAATGACATCGGCACCAAAGATAGACTTATCAGGATGAGCCCTTAGACCACATGAATGCAACGTGTCTAGAACCGCGGCAACGTGCTTTAAGTGCTCTTCTGGAGTTGCACTATAGATTAGCACGTCGTCTATGTACGCACGAGAACAGTCATCTAGCCCTGCCTTAGCCAACTCGTAATCCATCACTCGTTGGAATTTTGCTGAGGCGTTCTTGAGGCCGTAAGGCATGCGTGTGTACATCATGAGCTTATTCCCAACCCAGTAGGCAGTTTTCGGTTGGTCTTCAGGCAAAATGGGAATTTGCAAGAATCCCTGCCGCAAATCTAACTTAGAAAATATGCGCGCATGTGCACATTGATGAAAAATGTCCTCCGGCCTATGCAACCCATAGCGATCAGCCCGAGTGTGCTTGTTAACAGGCCGGTAGTCCTGCGCCATGCGGTGGTCTGTCCATAAGCCCGTATCTGGATCCTTTTTAGCGGCTATGACTGGGTTCACCGCACAGACAGTCGCGCCCTTATGCTCAACAACGATACCCGCCTTGACGAGTTCCGAGGTTTTTCCCACTATGACATCCTTTTCCATGGGCGAGTAACGTCTAGGGGGTTGCACTATAGGCCTGTCCGTATCTAGGTCCAAGGTGAAAGGACCCTGATCCCCACTATAGCCTGGTAATTGTTCCATGGAATAGGCAAAGGACAAGCTCTTCCGCGATCGGACTATATTTTGTAGCGCTGCACTATCCTGAGGGTTTAGCAAAGTACTGTTGCCCCAGATCCACCCACCTTCCAGGTCCTTCTGGTAGCGGCTGTAACCGGCTGCTGCTGAGACGCCTTCAGGAGTGAACGAGCCGACGCTGGATAAGGCGGAGGAAAACCCTAAAAATGGGTGGGATGAAGAACTAGGACCCTCGGGAGAGCAGGGGTCGAAACCCACAGGCTGACGGCCCTATGGCATACTCCAGGCCGGTTCCGGCCCGGTTCCGACCTAACGGGTCCAGTTAACGAGATCGGTAACCGGTCGGTAGGATTACCGGGCGAACCGTTATCCGTTAACCGTCCCCAGTAATCGGTAACCGATGTCGGTAACCTGGCATGAGCCAAAATGAAATTAATACTGAGATATCTAAGATGAGAATGTAGTATGAGTAATGCTAAAAATTACTCATAGATAGGTACGATGACCGTACACACAAATCGAAATTGAAATACAGGAGCCACTAAATTGTTTGGCTAAATTACTTTAGCCGTATATTGTGAAGACATTCCATTTAGCATCACTGTGTCCCCCTACCAAAATGGAAGCGTGCTAAAGAACGTTCCTGAGAACGCTAAGAATGCTAAGAACGGCTTAAGAATGCTGGTGCTGCTGAGAATGATCTTATGCCAGTCTCAAGCATTCTTATGACGGTTTTACGAAAGAATGGCTTTGAGAATGCAACAGTGCGGAAAACTTAGCAGAAACACGCACAAGTTACAGCGGTTTGCCCCTTCCATATATAGTTCAAGCAGGAAACAGAGAGTCAGTCCTGTATTCTGAAATAAGTTCATAGTGCAACTTGAGGACAGGTGGTACTGCTCATCTGTCCCAGCTCAAGGCCCAGCCAGTAGCCCTCCAGGCAGTGATGGATGCTCTGAAGGAAACCATTAGGCATGCCATGCAGAATCGACAAAAGGGTAGGTGTTGGTAGTTGACAGTTTAGCCAGAGGATCATTTAGCCTGGCTGCTAATTGTGTTGCATGTTACTTTACCACACTTGTGTATTGTGTAGGCAAAAAGCGCCAACTAATGGGCCTGCCGGCTGTCCCTCCACAAGGAGAGAAGTACAATGCGGACAAACTCTTGTTGGAGGTGAAGGAGGCGTTTGGTCATCATGACTATTCAAAGAAGGGCATGGCTGGACAGGATACCGCAAATGCTGGTGAGATTTTTACCCGCTGAACCTGTTGGCTATTGTGTGAACATTTATGGCATATCCACCTCACCATGCAGCAGGTGTTGTAGTTGAGTGTTTGGGGTGTCACTACCTCGTGCTTTGAATTAGTATGCTTTGCATTATCATTTGTATATTGTCCTATGTACTGTATCACCTCACTATTGTATAACACTCTGCAGGTGGGGAGTTGGAGGTCAACCCCACAGAAGGAGATGGTGTGCCCGATATGGGACCGGAGGTGGACGTGATGACAGGAACTGTAGGAGAGGAACCGGCGGATGATTGGATGGACGACACTCTTGCCCAGTTGCATGAACCTAGCCGCCGGCGCCTGCTTCCAGAGCCGGCATTCGCACGGATACGAAAAGAGACGCGTCTACTGTCAGAGGATGAGGAGGAGTATGAGAGTGAGGGTAGTAGCCCGGAGTGCACCCAGCAAGAGGGTGAGGTTGACACAGGGGAGGGGGAGGAGAGTGAGTCCGAATTGTCTGAGGAGGAATTGGATGAGAAGACGGTGGGTGGAAGTGGAAAGCAGCGGAGTGTGCAACAGCACCCTAAGCGCCCAAGTGGTAACAGGCCTGTGGTGATGGAGCAGTCTGCCAGGGGACAGCCGGCAAAGAGGGTAAAGGCTTCTACCTCTGCTCCAGAGTTAGTGGATACTGGCGCGTACGGCCTGTGTGTCGAAGGAGCTAAGACCCCCAGCAGGGGCAGAAGCAGGGGGCGAGGCAGCCAGGAGCAAGGGAAAGGGCTTGGAGCAAAGCCCCCCAGGGGCAGGGGCAGGGGCAGGGGCTAGCATAGCTTGTGTAGCTAGTATTGCCTTTAAGTTGTTGCATTTAAGCTTGTGAGTTGGTGGCCTGGTTTATGCTTATGGGCGACAATTGCATGAAATGCTGGGTGACAGGGGTGACAATAATGCGCGCAGGCTTGAGAGTGGGACTTCTGGGCCCATAATACATTGAAAGGCCGAGTGAGAGGGGTGACATTGCGTGATGGCTGTTGTGGATGGTGGGTGACAGGGGTGACAACATTGCGCGCAGGCTTGTGTGGATGCCAGGTGACAGATCTGACAAATTGGGTACACATGTGTGAATGCTGCGTGACAACAAAGCGTGCAGGCTTGTGTGAATGCTGCT